TCAAAATTGGCCGATGCATGAAAAAAAACTTTTTGCTTGTGTTTTATAAATAATAAATATATCTGTTGTATATTGAAGATATAAGCAGTCAAGATGTACCCATTAGCGTTCATGTCTGTGGTAGATGCAAATGTCAAACAGTGTCATCCTGAGGAAAGGTTTCTCACCGTGACTTAATTTACAGTTGATCTCCAGCACTTTTGGCTCTCTCCCCTGTATTCTCCACCTCCACATCCCCATCCTCTTTACATCCCTATCCACCTCCTCCTCATCATCATTTGCCATCATCAGGCAGCATCCTCTTGTTTTCAGAATATGGCATGTGTTGTCTGAACCCCCCCCACCACCACCACCACCACCATTACCATGAACACAGTCACTCTACCCCCACCCCCCTGCATGTACATGGCTGGTTGCTAGGCAACAAATATTCTGTGGGAGCGTGAGATTGGCAAAAGCCCTCGATTTTTATGGTGAGAACATAGGCGATAGAATACAGCTCTCCGAAACACACTACATGGCATGGTGAGGTGCAATGGACCAGTGTGCGAGCACATGCATGAATCCAAAAAGCCATGTTATAGTTACCATTCAGCCTGCAATTCAATACAATTCAGAAAGAATATTAATTAGATGGTCTTTTACATAATTGCAGCAGTATAGTGACCTAAATTGTCCACCACTTTACACTAATTTTGTTCTCTCATGTGAAAAAAAAAAGATGAAAATGTCAGATCATTCAACGTTCAACGAGCTTATTTGTCTCATGTGGGGGAAAAAATGATGAAAATGTGAATTCATTCTATAGGCTATATATTGATTCTGTTATATTAGAAAAACTAAACTGTATAAAAAAAATTGTTCCAGAGCTCACAAAGACATTACTGGTGCACCCTTTTAGTATCTTGTCTGCCAAAGTAAATGTATTTCTTCTGAGGTTTTATTACATAAGAGCATTGGTTTTTGGTTTTTTTTATTTTACTTTTTTTTTAATGTTTTTTTCGACACATGGATTTTAATCACCATCATTTGCTTCTGATTAAAAAGCTACAGATACTTTGTCGTTTCATTACCACTCACTGCCAGGTTGAGTCTGGTTTCCAGGGAAACTAAAAATCAGAAGCTTTCAGTACTCTCAGCCACAGTAAAACCCATCCACTGAGATTCTTCTGGAAAACAAACCATCTACAGCCTGCCTCTTATCATTACCAGCACCTAAAAGAGGAGCTTGGAGAGTGAAGATATGCTTTGGCTGTGAAATCTTTGAAAACATGGATACAGCGTTTGATCTGTCGTGCAGCTGAGGTACGTGTAGTTGGGGTGTTTTTCAATTGTGGTCTCACTGTGTGCCGTCGTAGTTTTGTTTTCAGAGGGTACCGCTAGTTTTTTTTTTTTAACAAGTTTTGTGTCTGTGTGTGTGTGTGTGTGTGTGTGTGTGGATGAACTGAAGCAGACAGCTGCCATGATATAATTGGATCTCTGTTTTAGGGGATAAAAGAGGAATCGGTTTATTGGCAATCGATACTATTCTTCCTGTAAGTATTGTAAGACTGAAGTTTGTGTGTAATTTTATGTTATAATTATTTCAAGAACATAAATCATGATTGTTTTTCAGTGCCTGAGATCATTACAAAACAATCAGATTTGAAATTAATTTGACCTAATGTAGTGTTTTCAAAAAATGACTGTTTTTGTGTGTGTGCCATCATAAATGAATGTCAAGTGCTAATTTTTCATTGCACCTGGATTAATGCACTAATGCATTTATGTGAATTTTTTCCAGCAAAACCATCAGTGGCGTGAAACCGTGAAGCTCAGACGTTCTACTCCCCCTCTTCCAGATCAACACAAACCCATCTCTGAACCCATGGAGGGTCCTGTTCTGACAGAAATTGAAGTTTGGAAAGTTGGCTCGGGGACCAGCACAAGTATAAACACCAATGACTATTCGCCCCTTATGAACGACAGCGTAACTGATGAAAAAAGAGTCCAAAAGGAGATCTGTGGCAGCATCCAGGAGCAACCTGACCAAGAGGTTACATCAGATCAGATCAAGTCAGTAATTCCATATGAGCAGCGACTAGAAGAAGAATTATCTTCCACTCAAACAGCAGTCGAAAGCGATGAACCACCTGCGGCAGCATGCAAACAAGAGAGGAGTGTTAACCAGGCAGAGGAACCAGCAGATAAGTTGTGCTTGGCATCTAGCCAACGAAACCTGGACCAGGAGATTACCATATTGGTGACCAACCATGATTGCACTTTAGAGGACGAGGAGGACATGGAGTTTGGGGAGCAGAAGACTTCCAGCTGCCCTACTGAACCCGAGATTGTCTCTTCGGTTAAAGGTGAAGGAGTGACTGAGGAAGAGAGTCTCGATGGTTCCATCGTTGTGGCAAATGTGATTGAAGTCAGTCAAGTCCAGAAGACCAGCGTCATAAGCCACGAATCAACTGAGCAGAATACCACCAATGAAGAACCAAGATTGCCTGGAGATCCAGGGGATAGTAGCAACGAGACAAACTCTGGAAGCAAAGGTTCAAGAACCCCACAGAAAACAGATGCAAGTAGCACAGGCATGGAAGTGAACATTTGCAGTCTGAAAGATCAGCCCACAAAGCCTGAAGATGTGGAGGTAAAACTGAAGAAAACCGAATCAACTGAGTCCAAGGATTCCGGACGGCCTTCGCAAGAAACACTCACCTTGACTCGGTTGCCTGGACGCACACAAACCGTGCAAACACAGGTTAGCCTGGAGGTGATGTTCCAGTCAGTGGCCACCAGCCCCATGACTCCTCTAGAGGGCTCCGCAGCGTTCCTTTTTCCAAGCACCTTTGGAAAACTCGCCAACAAGTGTAGTACAGATGCGGCACAGACCAAACATGCCGAGATGCAGGTGAGCTCTCAGGTGGAATTCCGTTCCGTCGCCACTGCTCCTATGACCCCGATCATTCTGACCGCACCTGAGGTTTTTCCCGAGCCGGAACCACGGATCGGGGTGACACCAGAAGAAGTGCCAGAACCTGTGCAGGAGGTGAGCTGGGACGAAAAGGGAATGACTTGGGAGGTGTATGGTGCGGTGATGGAGGTGGCAGTGCTGGGCTCGGCCATCCAGAAGCACCTGGAGAAACAGGTAAAGAAGCAGAATAAACAGCCTTTGGCCTTGCCCTCTCCTACAGATGCTCTGCCAGCAAACCCAACCGAAACATCTATGTCGATGCCTTCCAGTCCTCCCCCCACATCAGACCTTGGTGAAAGCAGCCTGGCCAAAGGACAAAGTGAGGAAAAGACGGTGCAGAGTGGCAGGCGTCGGCAGAATAATTTTCGCCAGAGGTTCAGGAACATCTGGCGGCCAAGTTGTTGTTCAAGACCACGTCAGGAAAACTAAGGAAGGCATGGTGGTCCAAACTATCTTAACAGACAATCTTTCCAGATTTTGTGCACTTTGGATGTGCACAGGATTGGGTTTTGTTCGATGATACGCCCCTTTAAGACATTGAAAATGACTTGTATTGACACTGCGTCACAAGAAGCCCCTATATGGATAATCATCAATTTTGGTTTGGTTTGATACACTGCACACAAACACAGTCGTCTTGATTTATCCTCGCTCTTGATTTTAAAATGGCTCCTATACCAGCTTTGTTGCTTTGAGTGTGTTTTTGCTTGCTTCTGTCGAGATCGTGCTACCCTGATGTTGTTGTGGTCAGTGAGGATCACTTTTAAAGTGCCCTTTTACAATATTTTACACTAATAATTTTACCTTTAATATTTATATATTTCAAATATGTTTATATGAATTCATCTTGTATATTTAAGGAACGGTAGAATACATTTATAGAGTGACAGTACCAAGTACTGTGTATTAGGCAAAACTTACCCTAGAAATTCTTGGTGTTTCAGGCAACAAGTAATAGATGATGTCTCTGATTTTTTCAACAGTAAAATGTTTGGTGTTCTTTGAGTTTTAGACTCTTCTTTTTCTATTGGCTTTTGTATAACCTCGTAAATATTCAATGGATTTGTCTTGTATTTTCAGTTCAGCTCAGCACACCCATAACAAGCCCACCTTCAAGCCTTACATTCCCTGTGATGTTTTGTGACTGTTGTGAGAACTGTAAAGTGAATAGTTTTGAAATTAAATCATGTCTACAAGGGAAAAGCAAACTTGATTTGTGACTCACTTTAATAATATGATCAATTTTATTAGAGAAAAATACCTAACTATTTTTTTTAATTCACAGAACATGCTATCGAATGATTGCACTTAGAACATATAACAATACACCATATATAGACAGTTTACGATATATATATATACACCCTGGTCACCAATCTGGCATAGCAAGGTATGTTTTTTTTATTTGATTTGATTTGATTTGACTCAGACTTAAACTAGCAGACTAGTGCCAGGTAATATTTGGCAGGATACACAAGCAGTTTTAGTTTAGTTTCTGTTGATGCAGCTTAGTTTTTTTGTTTTTGTTTATTTTTTTTAAGAGAGTTCGATTCTTCTGTATGACAAAACAATACAATTAAGGAACAGGTATTACATATAGGAGAATCCAAAAGTTCAGAATATGAAAAAAGAATGATGGAAAATAATAGAGAATAATGTAAGTAGGCCTACAATTTAATTTCAAATACTGTTTGAATTACTGCTTGTTTTTAGTGCATTGAGATTTTTTCTCTCTCTTACATTTCAAAGTGCATTGGTGATTTAAAGTGGGTTAACTTTAAAGTTAAAGTTTATCCAAATGGAATATACTGTGAAATTGAGTCTTTTCTCCTTTTTTGGCAGGATCACATATAAAAAATGGCAAATAGGTGGAGGTCAGAGACTGAATCTTAGAGATCAGTGGTGTCTATGGAAGGGTTTGCAAAAGTGAGACCGGGGCTGTCTGCACCTCTCCTCATTTCTCGCTGGGCAAGTGCAGCACCCAGAGGCTCAATGTATGGAGATTCATTCCTTTCATCCTCCTCCTCTTCCTCCTGAATTACCTACCGCACAACAGAAAACATAAGTACTCAAAACATACTCAGTTAAAGAACTTATGCTGTCTTTCTGCTGTTGTGTCCCCAGCATTTATAGAAAAATATGTTTTTTGCACAATAAGAGAAATTGGAAATATGCTTGAAATACTGTGGAATTCAAATGTCTGCCATCACATTGAAAATCTGTGATTGAGAACCTTAACTTTTAAGGTTCTATTTTTTATTATTATTATTATTTTTTTGTAAAATGGAATAAGAAATATTTTAGATCTGTCACCAATCAAATAAACAAATGAGTGACAACGCGAATGCCTCAAATCATGCTGGAGAACATGGAAACTTGGAATGGAATTCATACAGCTCGAGTGCTGCTGTTATTAAAGCAAAAAGGTGACACGACAAATGATAAGAAATCTTTCAATTAATGTTATTTTTTCAGTTAATTGTTTCACAAATTATGTTGACTTTCAGTAGTGGTCTCAGACTTTTGCTCCCCACTGTATATTATCTTTATTTTAATAATACATTTACCGTCATTGGCATAGTGTCTTTCTCTGTCATGGTCATATCAATGCTGTAGTCCAGGGAATTAAGGCTAAAACAGAACAAACACACAGCATACACACATATTCAGAATCTCACAAATTTGCACTCTTCTGTATAAATACTTGAGGGGCATTATGGGGAAAAATGTTCCCAGTAGAGACATTTCGGACCAGTTATGTAGCTTGAAATAAAATCAAAAACATGCTTCATTTAGCATGTGGTTCAGCTTAGTGTGATTCTGAGAAACATGGGGTCGCCAACATCACAACATCATTTAACTAAAACTACTGCTACTGAAACTAATAATCTACCATTACCCACAGATCAGTGAAAACAGATGCTATCTGTCATGGATATGGCATACTGTATCTTAAATAGATTTTGTAGAAGCCATTTAAGCTCATTGGCAGAATGTGGGCTTCCATGACAAGATAAACATGCTTTCAAACACTTCCATTGTAGGTCAGTGGCTTCCATCTTTTACAGTGAAGTCAGTTTTTGAATGTGCAATCTGATATAATCTTGTTTAGATCATTTCAGAGCAAGTAAGACAACATTTTACCTCTCACTGTCCAATGTAATTACATGAAATCACAAACCGCCTCCGGAGAGACCAGACAATTACGATGCATTATGTAACTAATAGGGCTGTTGATTTAGTGTTTGATCATTTAGTAGGATTAATAATAAGTGTCACATGCCCCTTGATCTATACACAACAAATCAAAAGTTTGAGGTCTTTTTTTCTAAAAGTGACAGTAAAAACATTATAATGCTACAAAAGGTTTTATTTGAATATAAAAGCTGTTCTTTTGTAGCACAAATGTTTTCAACACTGATGATAATAAGAACAATTTCTTGAGCACCAAATGCAGGAATGATTTCTGTAGGATCGTGTGACTCTGAATTTTCAGCAGCCATTACTCCAGTCTTCAGTTTTGCTGTCACACGAACAAATTACATTTTATAAAAAATAAAAGTTATTTTAAATCGTAATATTTCACAATATTACTGTTATGCTAAATAAGCATAAAACACTTCTTTCAAAAACTTCTTTCAAAACCCTTCTTTCAAAATCTTACTGACCCCAAACTGCCATTTTAATAAATTGATATCCTAGTAATTCAATAAATTTGGTAATTTAGCACAGTTTTAAAATAGAATGACAGTGACAATATAGAATGAGACATGTTTGTTGGCGAGTCTATAAAATCTTCATTAATGGACTGAGCAGTACAACAGTATGAACATCTTTTCATTCTTTCTTTTCAATAGTGTTTATAGTGTACAGTCATGATACCTCTCTCTGTCTGCGCTGGAGCCATCTTCATCAAAGCCTAGGTCTGTGGCCGTGTCAATATTCATATTCAGCACTGGGTTTGCTCTGTGGAATACATATCAGACAATCTCACACCCCAGCCTGCTGCTGAATTCCTGTTCAAAATTATACAATAGGTCAACATTTTAGGCAGCCCATGATGTCTGTCTTACCCTTCTTTGGTGTATTTGTTGGTTCCAGGAACAACAGGGCCGGTCTTCTGATTCTTTATGACCACTGAGGCTGCTGAATTCATGGCTTTGGCTGCCTTTAGTTTCCTCTTGTAACTAAAGGTTAGAAAGAGACCAGCAGCAATAAGTTGCAAATCCGACACACATCAGACAGGATGAAGAAACTTGTGCATATGTGTGGGTGCACATCAAGAAGAGCTATTTTAAATCTGCTGAATCTGGTTAGCAGATTTGTAATGTGTGTGACCCAGACTGAGGTTAGAGGGTCTTCCATAATGCCACTGTATTAGCTCCATGCCTGATGTTGGGAACAGGCCTGACAGGCAGGATCACGCAAGTTGACTTCATAGTATATACACCCTACATGACCTGCAATGCCTTCCCATCTAACTTCAGAGGCATGGTGGTTAATTCTAGACCTTTAAATATTACACATTATTTAAAAATGGGAAATACAAATGAATGGTATAATACAGAGACTGATAAGCTGTACCAAGAGCACCATGCAAACCAAACAATATGGGTAATTCAGTAGTTCTTACTTTCTTCTGATGCACACGAGAGAGGTGGTTGTTACAACAAGAACGATCGCCAGTGCAGCCATCAAACCAATCATGATGAATACCTCTGCCTTCACTTCTGTAGACTCGGTAACAGTTGTTGACTGTTAAGGAAATTAAAAAAGAAATTTGAAAAAATGTCAAGCTTAATGTGTTGAACAACGACTTTAGTTTTTGTTTTGTTTGTTTTGCTTTGTTTTTTGGTCACTCACAATGCCAGTAAATCCAAGCTGAGTTAGTTGGGATCCATATTCCGTATAGACCTCCTCTGAATTCAGGATTGAGGTCACTGCATCATAGTTAAGAGCTGTGCCATTTGGGAACACAAAATAAGCCTCCAAAACGGTTGTCTCTTCAGATCTGCAAATTACATAATTTTTGTATGATTTATATGCTATTATAACATTTATTTATATATTTAATTAGCATTTGTATATATTAAGTTTTCATTTTACTTTTAGTAATTTTGTTATGTGCTTCTGTCATTTCTATTAGTTTCTTTTAAAATTTTCAATTTAGCTTTAATTAATTTTATTATTTCAGTTTTAGGTATAGTACTTTTAATAGTTCATCTTCAGCTTATTTTATTTCAGTTAGTTGCCAAGGCAACATTCCTGATTTTCATTTTTAAAGTCATTTTTAAGGTTTTCATCTAATATTGATGTACTTATTCCTAATCTGGTTGTCAAATAAACCTGGCATTGTATATAACAAAGCATTTTTTTCCTCTTTTGTAAGTCACTTTGGATAAAAGCATATGATATATGCATAAACACAATGCAAATTTAAATGTATTTTAAATAATGTATTTACATTTTTATATAGTTTTAGTTAACAATAACAACACTGAATAGTTTTTAGAATGTCTCCTTTTATATTCCACAGAGGAAATAAAGTTATACAGGTTTGGGGGAGTAAATTCTGACAATTTTTGAGTCCCTTGAGCAATAATAGAAATATAGTGTAAATACACTGTAAAAACCGATATAATCAGTGTCAGTGAGTCATGGCAGCTTATGTTTTTACATAAACTCATCAAAATATGTTGAGCTATTTCAACTGTTTTTATAAGTTACATGAGATTCAACTTGATTTTTTAAAAGTCAGTTTAAAATCATTTAAATTAAAATGACTTATACGTCTAAGCTGATTAAACTTAAAAACTTAAGTTCAGTTGCTGACTTTTGAGTTGAAATAGATGGAATTTCTTTACAGTGTAGATAAAGTTTTGCTGGTCTCTTGCAGCTTAAATCCAGAATGTTCTGTAATTATGCCATATAAAGGGAATGTTTGCTTAATAACAGTAGTACTGACAAGACAGGAAATCTACAGGGAATTTTGAGTCTCTTTGGGAGAGAAAATACAAACTGAATTGGATTTAGTCTATGATGCATATGCCACCTGCTGGATTATACATATTATAACAGGAAAAAAAATCCAGATATTTCAGGTTTACATGAGTTTGGTGAGATTCAGTTTAGTTTTCTGTATGTGTATGTATATGTATATGTGGGGACATGGGTGACTGAAGCTTACCGGGTAACTGTCTCACTAAACACATTGAAGAATTCAACTGTTGCTTTTGTAGCACTTATCAGAATCCTGTAAAAAAATATCAAACACATTTACTCCTTTTGACCTGAATTTAAAAAAAGCATTAAATAAATAATAATAATGAATCATACTCTAAGTGTCCTTTAAAATAACACTTCTTCACAAATCAATAGATTCAAATCAATCTTAAACAGCATCTCTTACGCTCTGATTTGAGGCAAATTCGCATTGACTTCAGACACAGATGCACTAAATCTGAGACTGACTCTGTAGGAGCTGTCAACTGTGAGAAGCTGCAAAACAACGCAAATAGAAAATAAACAAAATAAACAAGACAATGAATTAATAATAAATTGTAGGGGTGAGAATGCCTTACCTCAACCACAGAGGTGAAACTGAGACCATCAGGGTTAGACGCCTTCACCTGCACTATGAACTTTCCTCTTTTATTATTATCCATTGCCTTCTGGGACCTGGACATTATGAAGAGACATTTGCTTGTTTACCTCCAGTTTAGTTCATTTTGACTGTTGCCAATTGAGTAGTTTCTATTTCTTCTGATTCGTGAGTTACAAACAGGTTAGGAATTTTAATTTCTCACCTTATATGTGCACTGAACCTTCCATCAGCATCTTCCTGATCAGCAGAGTCAGCGTAGAGAAACAAACTCTCTGAGGAATTCCCTTCACTGCCGACAAAGTCCACCGTGGTAACTTCAAATTTGGTTTTCTTGTTCTCTCCTGTGTCTCTGTCTGTGGCCTTAAAATGGTAAGAGGAAACAAACCCGGGGACATACTTTATGGAGATTCAAAGACATTATATTGTAACATAAAAAAAGTCCTCAAATGACCGCAAATTGTCAATAAGTAAACTATCACACTTACATAAACTCTGCCGACAGATGAGCCCACCTCAACTTTCTCAATGACTACAACTAGAGAAACAGAAATATGTTAAAACTTTTTGCATAAACAATACGAACAATATTTTATTAATATTCAGTGCACTCAATAAAGACCAAAATGATTAAAGGTACTGGTTAATGTGAGTGAGGAAATTGGAAAATACAAAACAAATCTCAATGAGATACATTAAAGTTAAAGGAATTATGCACCTAAAAATAACAATTCATCCTCATGTCCTGTGTTTTTCTTAATTTTTAAGTGCTCAATTAAAATGTGAAATCACTTATACGTAATTCTTGTCACATAAATGATTGTGTTTGATTATATGTGTCCAGAAATGTAAAATTGTAATTGGAAAGGACCGTCACATTTTTATATATATACAGTATATATATATATATATATATATATATATATATATATATATATATATATATATATAAGAAACACCTGTTGTGCTCCATTCACGAAAGAAAATTATATGAATTGGAACATTTTTGGGATGAGCTATGCCTTTAACAACAGAACATACTATGAAAGAAATGAAGAAAGCACATTTTAATGGACCATATGAAGCAATAGAACGCACCTTCAGTACTGTCACTCCTCTTCTCAGTTAAAACATCCACCACCTTGGCATTCAAGAACACTTTATCACATTTCTCGTAGTCAATAACATAGATGGTATTAGTTATTACTTCACCGTTAAGTTCAACTTTGAACCACTCTTCGGGACATGGACCTCTGCTGCCATTGCACTGGCATTCAGTAGAATCAAGCTCATATTCTAGAAAGTGTTCAGTGTCCACATCTTTGCCTTTGATTGTGCCCAGAGGCATTGACAAGGTGCTGTTCTCTTTTACATTCAGGACCATGTCAGATGGGAATTCAGGCGGAGTGTCGTTCACATCAACCACTATTACTTTGACTGTAGTCTTAACCTTTTGCTGACCCAAGTCTGAGGCCTCTACCATTAGATCGTATGTCTTCCGTTCACTTTCGTAGTCCAGCTCAACAGCAGGATCAACAGTGATGTTTCCCCTGTAACCTCCACTGATGGCCTCAGAAAATAATATGAAACTTCCAAAACTGCCATCAGTAATGCTAAAGAAGATACGATTATTGAAGTCTGATTGGTCGGCATCGTGAGCCCGCAAAGAGCCAACCCATATGCCTATAGAGGGGGGACAAAAAGTTGACAGTTTTTGCTAAATGTTCATATTTAAAAAATAATAATTATACAGTTCTGGAAATGTACTAAACAATTACTTAAAATCATACTGAAATTTGTTCAGAAAAAGCACGTTACTTGCCACTTTCACTTTCCTTTACTTTAAATTCGTAGGGAGCAGGATCAAGGTACCTTGGAGAATTGTCATTTTCATCCTGGGAAAAATAGAAAGAAAAAATTAGTTACTTAAGTTAATGAATTATACTTAAATATATGTCTAAATCGATATAAATAAATATATGCACATTTATATACATTTAAATGTATACATATAATTGCGAAGACATCAATAAGTGGTCTTAAAATTCATCTCTAGCTATAAAAATGCTGCATTCTCACCCCAATGTTGATGGTCACTTTGGCTGTGGAGGACAGGGATGGTGTGCCCATATCTGAAGCGATCACCACCAACTCAATCACACCATCTGGGGCAAGGTCAATAGCCTCACGGTCCAATAGACCACTGTTTTTAAGCAAACCAGTGACTTTGTCTATGGTAAAGTTACTACTGAACGGGCTGTCGTCAATGCGATACTGGATTTTGCTGTTTGGTGTACCTGGGTCGTCTCCGTCTCTAGCCTATCAAAAATAAATAAATAGGTCTTCCATTAGAGACATAGATACTTCCGTTACATTTATTTACTTGGCAAAGCAACTCACAGTGAACTTAAGGTATACAGTTTTTTCTGTGTTCCCTGAAAATCAAGTCCACGACCTAGGTGTTGCCAGCACCATGCTCTACTGCTTACACGAGTAAGAGTGGCATGCAAAACATTCACACAATCTCTCTTCATCATTTCAGATGTCTATGGTGCTTTCTCAATCACTATTACATCCATAAAGTTACCTGGATTGTAAGCTCTAACATTTGGTTCTCTTGTACATAGGCCTCATAAAGTTCTCTGTTCATTTCTGGTGTCTGATCATTAATATCCAGAATGTTGATCATCACAACAGTGGTACCAATCTTGCCATCTGAATCTATGGCCTGCAGGGTGGGTGAGTAGGAATTGGTGCCTTCTCTGTCAAGAAGCTGTCCATTTTTTACGAAGATAGTTCCAGATTCTGGAAGAACATCGAAAAACTCCAGCCTGATGTTAATTTAGGGGGAAAAAAAGAAAATTTTACACCTTTTTTATGGCAAACTTGCAATGACTAACTAACTGAGTAATTTTGTCCTATGATAGCAGACTGAATATTCAACATACATGTTTTCGGGCATCAATTTGTAAGTGAGTTTGCCTTCATCCAAGGCATCTTCATCTGTTGCCTGTCAAACCGGAACACTAGTGAGTGTCAGATCAATCAATCTTAGTCAAGTCACCTTTATTTATATAGCGCTTTTAACAATACAGATTGTGTCTGTATTGTTTAGTCACCACGAAAAGGAAAAGTGAGCAAATAGAAGATATTTTGATAATAGACTTGATATTTTGCTTACAGTAATGACGCCCACAACAGTTCCATCATCACAGTGTTCATCAATAGAAAACTCATAAGCATCCTCCTCAAACTCAGGAAAGTTGTCATTTACATCATTGATGTTAATGATGACAGAGGCCGTAGAGGTGAAGTCTGCACTAGCATCTTCAGCAATAATCTGGTGAGATATAACAAAGTATTAAAAATGCTTTTGATTATAATTTTGTCTACTGCAAAAACAAGTTTCAAACAAGTTTTCTAGATAGATAGATAGATAGATAGATAGATAGATAGATAGATAGATAGATAGATAGATAGATAGATAGATAGATAGATAGATAGATAGATAGATAGATAGATAGATAGATAGATATGGGATAATTTTGGCATTGTCCAAACTACTGGACCGGTTAACATATGTGGAAATCTCCAGAGACACACCCTAATATACAAACCTGAACAGACATTACTGTATTCTTCTCATAATCAACAGCAGATGGATCTTTTATTATCACTTGTACAATACTTTCTCCCAGCCCAGTGCTGGGACTGACAGCGAACGCATCCTTATCAGGTCCCTCAAGACGGAGCTTGAACGTGCTGTTTTGCCCCTGGATCATAAATAAGTTAATCATCAACACATGGGGGGGGGGGGGGGGAAAAAAAAAAACAAAAAAAAATCCCCCCAAAAAAAAACAACAAAATTTT